TTTGATAATATTTTGAGCCCAAAAGCCCAAAAATATTTTAGTTTGGACGTTTTAAACTAGCGGCCAACAGAAGAATGTAGCGTTCTACAAAATACAACTTTTAATACTTGTGGGCCATAAACGCCGGAAGTTTTATTTGTACTTGTAGCACAGAATAGCTTGTAGGGTACCGCATTTTAGTGTGTTAAGCTTTCGCACTCGTATTCAACTTTCGTAATAGACCTTTCGTAATAGACCTTTCCCCTTTTCAGTGAAATTTTGATCTAGATTAGCCTGGACAAAAATTTCATCACAGCTTGGAAGAGCATTGCAGAATTAGTAATATTCCGACGTTTCGTTGCAAAAAGTTGTAAAATGCGGAAAATATAGCCTGGCAAGCTTGCCGTTTTCAGTCATTTTGCAGTACAAACGGAAAATTGATAATCAGATAATGAAACTGATGGTCAATTTCCCATTTGTAATACAAAATGACTGAAAAACGGCAAACTTCGCATTGTTATATTATCCGCATTTTAAATATGACTAATTTTGACATGCTTTTTCAAGCTGCAGGCGCAGAATAACGTACACAGAAGGGCGACTTCTTTGTTTTTCCTATGATCTTGGCCGTAATTCGTCACCAAATGCTGACGTCATCAAATGCAGACGCCATTCACCCCCCTGATAATATTCAAAATGGCGGACGTCCAGGGGGGAATGCCTCTCAAACCCGCACTGGCTAGGATCATGGCGTCAGCATTTTGATGATGAATCATGGCGTGGCAGCGGTTACTCGAGTCGACCTTCTGTGTGCATTATTCTTTGCTGCAGGGACGCCGAGAGCTTGGCGGGGCCCCGGGGCAAATTTTTCTTAGGGGACCGTATTCAAAAAAATTTCCGGACGAGTACGTTGTAAATGCTTTTGTGGGAAATTACTGCAAATTTTTCATACCAAATTTCGGTTCTTCGCCCGAAAAAAACAGATATTGTGACCCAAAAACGGAAATATTTCGCGCAAAAAAATGACTGGTGCCCACCAAAAAATTTCTAGGGACCCCCAGAACATCGTGGCCCAGGGCAATTTGCCCCCCCCCCCCTCTCGGCGGCCCTGTCAAGCTGTGATGAAATTTCTGTCCACGCTAGTCTGGATAAAAATTTCACTTAGAAGAGGAAAGGTCTATAGAAATATCTGTGTACTGTATCTGGCATCATATAAAGTAATGTGCGTATATTTGTACAGCCCCAGCGAGTTAACGCTCAATAGAGCGTCTTGTTCACATGAAAAGACTGGGACCAGGTGATTTGGGGGCGGGGCGGAGGAAGGACAAGCCTGCCCAGTCTTTTCATGTGAAAAAGTGCTGAATATTAAAAACATATAAATAAGACTAGAAGGCCTAGGTCTAGGCTGGATTTACAGTACTGCAAACATTTACGTTTCAACTGTCAAATTTAGAAACACATTCATATTGGGCGGGGATCAATCTCGTACCCAGAGCAATGCCTGAGCGCAGGCGAAGAAGGCATTGGCTCTGGGGAAATTGACAACCGGAACCCCTAAATTTAGGGGTTCCGGTTCTTTGTCGGCATGCACTATTGATGAACGTTAAACCAATCACAGCACAGGAAAAATTCAATTTCCCTAGAGCCAATGCCTTCCTAGCCCGCGCACGGGCACTACTCTGGGTACGAGTTTGGGCGGGGATTATAAAATCATTCCCCCAATGCAACAATTAACAAAAAACCGTGACAAAAAAGATATCTGGGTGACACATCGTTTTTATGTCACCTGCTATCACCCTGAAAAAGGCACAAGTATGTGATAACTAAAATTACTGCAACTTTTATTAAACTCCTTTTAGGCTAACAACTACTAAAATTTTAATGCACATCAGGGCCTTTTTTAACATACAAGCTGGGGGGGGACAAATGCCCCCTTGTGCCCCCCCCCCACGAAATCACATTTTGCCCCCCCCCTCCCAGGAAAAGTTCCTTTTCCATAAAATTATAGAAACAAACCAGCGAAGATTAACAAATACATAAACGGAAAGTAAGTTTTAGGCTTTATCCTTTGTCCTTGTTTAACAAAATCGATTTAAATTGTTACTTTTTTCTACCACTAAGTAATGATAAATTATTGTTAATAATTTTTTTATTTTTTGGATGCTCAGAATGCAGGAAATGGCATTCCCGTGCTTGAAATTTCAAAAATTTTACACCCCCACACACCTGACCATTGCTATCCTCCTCTAATAAGTAATGATAAATGATGGTTATTTTTTTTTACTTTTTGTGCGTTTTTTCCTTTATTTTTTTTAAATACAAGTATAGTTAGCATAAATTTTGGGAGCAAATTTGGATGCTCAGAATGCAGGAAATGACATTTCCGTTCCAAAATTTTCTAGCGGGACTCCCCCAGACCCTCCCCCCCACCTTCATGCGTGGTATATTGGCCACACACGTGGCCTTCAGCCATTGCTATCCCCCTCTAATATATTATCTCACAGAAAGGTCCCTTTTCAAAAAATGCCCCCCACGGGAAAGTCTGTAAAAAAGGCCCTGATGCACATCACTGGACATGTTATTTCGTTTAAAGTGCCAATAACGTCATGATGGGGCACTTGAACAGCCAGCTGACGAATCTATGAAAAAATAAACAATTTATGCATTTGACATATAATTATTCTTAAAAAAAAATACAAAAAGAACATTATTTCTGGAATGCCATAAGCCTCGCCTAATTGACACAATATGTGATAAATTTCAAAATGGTGGTTTATTATCCATTAACCAGTCGACCAAAAATGTTGCCGTAATGGGCTCAGATGAATCCATATTATGGTAATAAATGAATAATGAAAACCTTAAATATACTAACCTGACACATTATGTATGCTTTAGTCTACATCAGATACTGCACAACGGTCTATCTCAGGAAAAAATTCCTTCAAGGCAGGGAGTGTTTTCCAGTCGGGATACTGTCTGATTATTTGATGAAGAACAAGTGGGAGCATTGGAAATAATCGAAGGAAATATTCCTCAAGAGAAGAAGTAGTCGATGTCTTCTTTTTCAATTGACCCAGTTTGCCATCCCGATGCTGAAATGTGTTTCGTATCAATCGAAGGCAATCGGTATATCGGCTACCACCATAGGTTGACGGGGAGCGGCCTCCTCTACACAATGTGTTTAGGTCATCATGGCCAATCACTGTTTTCCAATCAAATGGTAACAACGGACTTCGAGGTTTGGATGGATTAACGTTGTTCAGCTGTCTGGTCACACCACAGTAACTCATTAATTTAGGTTCGTTGCCCACAGCTTCTACCAATTTCATCTGCTCTTCGAGAGAGAGAAAGTAAGGATGCTTCAAGGCTTGCTCCACATATGGTCGTTTATCTAGATCCCGAGCCAACATCTGAGATAGCAGGTCTTTGACCACAGGATCACTGAGCTCTTTTATTAAACCAACTGGGTTGTCATCGTGCAAATTCATCAATTGGGCTATTTTCGGACCAAACGGATGTTTTCCTTTGGTCAAGATGTAAAATGATAGCATGCCTGCGACTTGGATATCTGATTTCTCTTTCCACCTGAGTTGTAATGGGGTATCTGAAGCATTTGGTGTCTCATCAGAAAACAATCCACGCCAGTCAATACATTCATACGCGATCCAGCCGTGTGATCCACTTTCGTTACTGGTTTGGTAGGTTGTTGCACCTGTAAATTAGTAAAATTGACCCATTATTAACAACAATCTTCTTCTCATACGAAAATGTACTAGGATGCCCTATGGGGAAGAGGTTAATTTAAATTAATTCCCCAATTGTGGGGGTTATGCAGATGCTTTCTGGAATAGATGGAATATATGGATGTGCAATTCCTACATTTAGCTGCTCATATATGGCATGTGGTAAACATATTCCCTTAACCTGCGATCAGGCGTAGAAATATAAATAAATAGGCCTGATACAAACCTTAACAAAAGTCCATGTCGTACCAGGGCTCGAAATAGCGGGCTGCCAATGGCCAAAAGCAGGCCATATTTTAGAAATGGCAGGCAAAAACAAATTTGAACTGCCAAAGTAAAAAAAATGGCACGTGAAATTATATAGATATATTTAATTTCATTTGCTTACCACAACTCATATATACTAGATCATTTAGTTGACTAAATACGTTTATATATATTTGAAATGTATAAATCCACGTTTACTGTAGTAAAATAGACAAGTTTAAAAACAATAAAAATGCATGTCATGAAAACATTGATTTTTACAATGTGACTCACTGGACTTTTGGCAGTTCAATGAATAAAATTTATTTCACCTGCCAAAACATTTTAGACTGACAGGCCATATTTTTTCTCTACTTCGAGCCGTGTGTCGTACAACCATATTTCGGTTGTAAATCTGATTGGTCTATGAGACAAAGATTTTTTAATCTGTCATTTGATTGGTTGGTGCTAATTAGATTATACTATTGTTGTTGATATATTTTATAATGATCACAATTATAATTAGATTGTTGTTGTTGTTGTTGTGTGAAATTTAAATTTCTCCTGTGACATTTTGATTGCATACTAAATATAAACTTTGCTGTGGGTGGAAAGCGATCGGATTGTGTCAGGCTATTTGTAAAATACAGCCCAATACTCAGGTTAATATTTCCTCAATTCCCGGGACAACATGATTTACATGAGAGGTTAACTAAAATGCATGACCATGTTGCAGACCAGTTTTGCTAAATAGGATCAATTACATGAACACCAATAAATTAGCACTGCATTGAAGTGTGTCCTGTTAAATAATAAATCCTGTTTTTTTCTGTAGGACAACTTTGTAGTTCATGAATTGGACTATCCCAGGTCAAAAATAAAAGATTTATGTCAAGCCAGTTCTGTTCGACACTAATGTATCAGTCAATTCCAGCAGTGTCCACCCCCAGGGCCTTCGCAGCTTTTCCTAATCTCAGGGGTGGGCTATTGCCAAAAATTTTTCAGCCCATGGGTGGGGACTTTGACGTTTTCCATCATGGCAATTGGCTGACTATAACATGCAAGATTTCGCTGGAAAGATACTGAATTTGTCTGCAAATGGTTTGACACTCGTTCTTTGGGATGGTCTTTCAGTACCATTGTCTTTGATCATTGATGAGTAGAGGACGCTATGCAACTACAGCAGATGCTGTCAAGATAGGCTGGCTTCCTGTTCAAGAACGCAGGGAATGGCATCTTTTAAAAACAACATATAAAGCATTACATGATAGGTCTTGGCCATCATATGCCAGCCTGGAAGTAGCCAAACCATTGAGAAACCTACGATCAAGTGACTCAACTAAATTGACAGTTCCTCGAGTTAAGGGAACTTTTCAGGATTTGGCCTCAAAATATTTTAATAAACTTCCGAACGATATTAAAAATTGTGAAACTCTTGTTAGATTTAGCATACAATCAAAGAACTACCTTATGGACATAGCTAAGGAACAATTGCAATAACTTGTTTTTGGTTTTGTAAATTGTAGTATAGTTAATTTAGTTACAATAATTAGTAGTAGAGTTTTATATAATATTAATGTTAGTAGAATATTAATACTAATGTAGTACTTAATAGGGAAGAGCCACTTTGTTGGATCTGTTAATAAATCATTATTATTATTATTAAATTACATGTTGATCTTCTTGGATTTGAAAGCCCCTCAATTATTACGGGAGATGAATATCGTCCTGATTTACTTGTCTCCACTTCAGACAAACACCTCTACATTGTTGAACTTACCGTAGGCTTTGAATCAAACCTCACAAACAATGTTAACCGCAAGAAAGCTAAATATAAGAACCTAATTAGAGAACTGGATCAAAACTTTATATCTGTTAAGTTTATAAATCTTTCTGTCAGTTCGCTAGGGGTGTTTGACAAAGAATGTCATACATTCGTAAATATGCTAAATGAGTTCGGACTGGATAACACCAACAATATTGTATCAGAAAAATTATATCTATTGCCATCCGCTCAACGTACTACATATTTTGCTGTAAAAATAAAGAATGGACAAATCCCAAACTAATGAACATTTAAAGTAACTATTTCTATAAATAATTAACAATTTTTGTATATAAAATTATAACCATGCATGTATAAGTGATTCAAGTAGTCAACTGTAGGTTACCTCAAGAAGTGGGATTTACAATTGTATATATCTATAAATGTTCTATTAATAAAGTTTTCATTATTATTATTAAGTTATTGCAGACCATCAACAACGTACGAAACCTTTTTCAGGACATAAAAAAGGGTCAAAAAATTTTTATGGACTAACATCAGTTTAGTTCAAAACACATTTTCCCCAACAAATTCTTCTTAAAACATGATTAATTTAGAACATGTTTTTTGCACCAATATCTGCAATATTTAGGTTTAGAAAATTTTTTCTCACACCATTACTTATATCAAAAAAGTTTTATTTTCCAAATTTGGGGGCCACCATTACACAACTTATAATTTTCCCTATTGAAAAGTCTCTGCACAAATTTTTTTTTAAACTTTTTTCATTTTTTCTGTTTCCTGCTCGATTTTTATTTTTGCTTTTGCCCCCCCCCCCATTTATATTGTCCATAGGCATAGAATTATAACATGCAAAACTGAAGTAAAACTGTGTACTACACAACTTGTTTGCCCAAAGGTGGGGCTTTAGTACAGTCAGGGCAAAACTAGCCTCTTTTAATTAGGGGGGGTTCTGCTAGAATTGCCCTGCAAAAGCCAATGATGCCCTGCAGCAAAAAATTTCTTTGGGGGGAGGTCAAAAAATTTTTTTCCGGGCATTCAAAAAAGGGGCGAAAAAATTTTTCATGCATGAAAGCCTTATATTTTTACCAATATCTGTAAAATTTTGGTCTATAAATTCTATTCAATTGCCTCTGGAAGCTACTCAATAACTCCACATTCTATCATTTAAAATATTTCATTGCCTTGCCAATCCAGATGATTTGCCCTGCCAATCCCAATGATTTGTACTTTGGGGGTGTCACCCCCCAAGTTTCGTCCCTGAGCACAGTTCTTCTTTCCCTGGGGTGGGGACATAACCATTTTCTTTCCAGAAATGGCTAATTCCCCAGGGGTGGCCCAGGGAGGGGATGGCAATGCTGGAATTGACTGATACATAACTTATTGGGAATTGTATACTTCAATAGATCTGTTTAAAAATTATATATATATATCACTAGTGAAAATACCTTCTGGGAAAAACCGTCCAATACCAAAATCAGACAGGAGTAAATTACCATGCACATCAACAAGTATATTAGTTGGCTTCAAATCTCTGTGTAGAATTCTGGGCTCTCTAGCGTGTAATGCTTTCAGCCCTTCCAACACTTGACGTATCATCTTTCTAGCACGCAATTCTGTCATCCTTTCGCCTTCCTCCTTGATAAATTCTTCAAGATTCTGTTCGTATAACTTCAGAATCAAATAACCGAACTCAGGGTTGGAAGTGACATCGTAGAAACAATAATTTACAATTCGTGGCGACTCGACTGCATTCGGAGAATTCAAGATATCTCGTTCATTCGCCAAGAATTTCTCACACAGATGTTTTGGCAAACGTTTTATCGCTCGTTCTATTCCGTCAGATCCCAAGCAAATATACACCTCTGTGCCATTACTGCCCCTGCCTATCACGAACTCTTTTTTGAAACACACGCCATTATCATTTCTTATTTTTATCGATTTATTAAGATCATTTTTCCACAGTTCTAAAAGCCGTTCAAACTTCTCTCTATGCTTCGCAGAGACTTCAATCCGATGTGTGGGTCTTAAGGCTGCGGTTCTTTTTGTTTCCTCTTCTTGTTGCCTCTTAATCTTCACAGCTTCTCTTTGCTCATCTGACGATTGTTTTCTCTTCAGCGCCTTACGTCGCTTCCATAAATCGTCTCCATCACTTCTCCCCTTCACAAGTTTGTTCATCCCTCCTCGGGAAAGACCAAGTAACTCTTGGTCGGATATATCATAATCTGACGTATTACCGGCTGTAATTTCAACATTACTTGGAACATTTTCTTTATCGTGTTCTTCGTCCATCATTATTTTGCTTAGAAATTTGGTTCTGCTCAGTGTTCAAGTATTTGGTCACAGAGTGCCTTATTCTGTGATTTGGTGTTGGCGCCAAAATGTAGAAAGTCACATGCACCGCACTTCGACTCTACCTCTATTAACCAATCAGATGCGTTTGATATATCCAATCAACCAATCAGATTTAATCAGATGTGTACTAGGCCAAAGTCAAATCTGAACTCACTGATCTGAAATAAGACTGGATAACGTATCTATAGTATCCCGATTCAAGGGTCCCACTTTTGGTATAGATATGTATTACAGAAGGTAGTTTTTCGCCTTGGCTACTCTGTGGTGGCCATCATATTACTCTACTGGTGTAAAAATAAAAATTGGACTCTTATCATTATTGGTTATTCCAGATTTCCCATGTGGTAAATTAGTAAAAACAATGTTTTTTAATAATATTTTATACCATTTTACCATATGGGAAATCTATAATAACCAATAATGGTTAAGAGTTCAGTTTTAATCAGGGGCGTTGGAGCACTCTAAAAGTGGGGAGCACACTTTCAGAAGCGGTCTGGGAGCATGCCCCCCGAAAAAATTTTCAAAACTAGGGCACTTCAGAAGGTGATTTACAGAGTTCTATAAAAGGCAACAAAATGTCATAAAATATCTCAAATTGTTTTGTCTACACACATAACTGAAATAATATCAATTAACTTTGTGGTTTATTATTGACCATTGTTAAAAACTTAAAAAGTGGGGGCCCAAAGACATTTAGGCCCCCCAACTAAAAAAAGTGAGGGGGCCCGGCCCCCTGCTTCCAACGCCCCTGGTTTTAATGGGTGAAGGCATCCATTTTCCAAAATGAGCAGTTCTTAATTTAAAATGGGCATTTCAATAAGAATGAGTTTTGTACACTCGTACAGAGATTTACGGCAAAAACAAAACCATTCTGGACTTAAAAAATTGAAAATTTTCTGAGGAAATATCACTGATCTATATATGCCCCAGGCTTTATTAGGACCAATTCAATCCAATACTGGCTGCTGAGCAGACCACGGTTAATAGACCTAGAGCAGACTTACCCAATTCTATAACACAACAAGACGCTCTATTGAGCGTTAGTCGCTGGGGCTCAGGGCCGTAGCTAAGCATGCATAGTTGGGGGGGTGTAGGCCAAAAATTTCCGAATGACGAAAAAATTTCCGAATATTTCACGGAAAATGAAAACGCAATTTACAAACAAAAATACTGATATTTTACGCACAGACATATTACAGAAGCGTGCAGTTCCGTAGGAAGTTCTCAGGGGGTGGCGAGGGCCGAAGGTCCGAGGAAATTTTTAAATTTAGAGTCTCTGAAATGCCATTTCGTGGATTTTGGGGGAAGTTTTGACAGAATTCTGATGGTCAGAAAACAGAGTTTTAGCACGTCGAAATTTACAATTAATTTGCTTACAATTTTTTACAAACTAAATGGGCGAAGGCGTATATGGGTAATATGATTCTTTGCGGTTTGTCATGGGTAATGTAGCCGCTTAAAATTAATCAATTGTCAGTATTTTAAAGATATATTGAGGGCTGCCCCCCTCCCCCCCCTCCGTTGCTACGGCCCTGGGAAGTAATAAACCGAAAAACATTTACCGATATACGATTTGTTAAATGTTATCCATGTAAATACCGTGATTTTGTAAATCAGTTTATGATACTGACAATAGAATTTTATAATATTTTCTCTGTTTAAACAACTAAAATTTTGCTATACTATTACTGCTGTAATTTTCCGAATGACCAACCTGATTTTCCGAATATGTTAATTCTAAAAAAGTCGGGGGGGGGGGGTTAACCACCCCCCCAATACCCCCCTTCGCTACGGCCCTGCTGGGGCTATTGCATATTACGCTGCATGCGATTGAGATTAAGACTGCTATTTGTTTGTTAAGCTTATGTGTTCATATAATAAAATTGTTTTTATCAAAAATTGGATTCATAGAAAAATTAAAACAAAGTTCATCAAACAAGTCCCCGGACTACAGACGATAAACAAATTTGTCTAAGTTTGGTTATATCCAATTCACAACTTTACATAAGTGACATCCCTTAAGGCTGCATTCCGGTTACACGTTTTTCATATGTTGTACGTACACGCACGTAAAAGTTGAATTTGCTTTACATCCTACTTATGAAATAACTAAATTTATAAAAGGACAGCATTCAGTTTTGTGTATGATTTAATGTGTACTTGTTAAGGTTATTTGCACTTATATGAAATTTTAAGCGAATTCAACTTTTACGTGCATGTACGCACCTATGAAAAATGCGTAACTGGAATGCAGCCTTAACTATCATTGTTCTAGTGTACTGAAGCATAGAGATAAGAGTAGAACAAAGATAACTAAGCTTTAGAATTATCTAGCTACATGAATGAATGAATGACTTTTATAGTGTATAGGGCTTATCAAATGCTTAGTTACCTCTGTTCTATTCTATGTGTACATACTGCAAGAACACTAACTAGGCATGAATATTTAAAGTTATGAATTGCATAGCAACAATGTAACTAACTTTGCCAAATTTATCTATTATACAAATTAATATGTTCTGTGTGTTTGAATTGTACAATACCTATTGTGAGATAACAGCTGTCCTGAGAGCTTTTAAAATATCATTTGCCAGCAAGGCAACAAGCTCTATTAAACCCTTGTCCCATTAAGCAGATTCTATTTACATCCAAATAAACAGCAACTTGCGAATATTATTGTTGCAATTTACGAAGTTCCCAACTTTGTGAAAATTGTGAACTTTTGTCGTCTATTTCAGGCTTCCAGCCTTCCAAGTTTACTCATATAAGATAACTTTCGGTTTATAAAGTCTGGCTGATGGGAAAACTATTAAGTTTCATCGAAAAAATGAAGAAAATATGCACAAAATCGATGAAATTATTTCCAAATACGCTCCCAAGTAAGCGGCCATCTTGAATCCAGCGACTGAAAGTAATGACGTAATGTTTGACAAAAAAATGACGTAGGTCATTTTGTGACCAACAATCCGCGATGAAGCCGAAACCTATAGTCCCTGGAGGCACAGAGTGCCCCAGCGACTAATAATTATATATGCAAGTATCAATCAAACTTTAGTTTCATTTAGATGAAAATTGGATAATAGTTTACAGCTATAGATGAATATATTGTGCATGTTACTATAACTAAAATTACAAGTTCAAGGTGCAAATTAAAATTAACTAAATTATTATAATTGAGACTGTTGTTTTTAAACCTATCAGTCACTACATTAATCATTGTGATTAATATATATTTTTTTAAGAGTTTATAATGTTATATATTAAGTTAAAATAAAACGTCACCTTTTAGGCTAAATTTTCACTTAAAAAGTTTGTACATGGTATGTATAGACACTCTATACAGTATACAAGAAAGGACAATTCACAATTGTCACAATATATATATTGTTGTTTAAATTGCCAATAAAGCCATGATGGAGCACTGGTTTCCTTGGAATCAGCGCTTAAATGCTGTGGCCTTGACAAATCTATGAAAAAATAAACAAATGCATTTTACATTTATTGTTCTTAACAAATAAAAAGAACATTTATTTTTGAAACAACATGTGATAGTTATACAACAATAAGGTTCAAAATGGTGGTTTATTATCCAGTAACCTGTTCACTGAAAATGTTACCATAATGGGCTCAGATGAATTCATATTAGGCGTAAAAAAAAATACCTGTGGTTCCGGTTCCCGACCGACCCTATTTTTTTCTGCCGACCCTATTATTTTTTCAACGCGATTGACTGTGCGACCCTATTTTTTCCAGGTGGTTGCGGGCTGCTATATACAACGTGCCAAAATGGCGTCTGTTGTCACACTAATTATTGAACCAAATTGCCTAAATTCGTCCATAGGAAATACGCATCTCTAGTTAATATTGATGTCGGGACTCTACTGCAAATCGCCCAGCAAAAAACCGCCAAAACCATGAAAAAAATAATCAAACCCCTAATCGACCCTAATTTTTTCACGATATGAAACCGGAACCACAGGGGTTTTTTTACGCCTTATGGTGATCAGGAACAGAGCTAGTCCTTCCTATTTAAATGGGGGGGGGGGGAGTGCCTAAATACATTAAAATTATATTTTATTTATATATATTTTTATTTATATGAAATTATATTTTTCATTATTTTTAGCGTCAACGTACCCCTTGGTCCTTTAGTTAATTTTTCCTTAATTTTGTAAACTCCCCCAAATTTCAGCTATAATTCTTAGTTTTTAATCAGTTTCACTCAAATACTTTATTTTTTTCCTTCCTATCCAATTCATGTTTTGCCTACTGGGAAAACAATTTCCTGACTGGGATACAATGATTTGCCGCCTGACGACTATTAGGGGTGTTCCACCGCCCTCCCCCTCCAGGCCTCCACACCCCCTCCAGCTCCACCCCTGATGGTAATAAAAAAATGCTGAAAACTATGATGAAATATACTAACCTGACACATTGTGTATGCTTTATTCTACATCAGACACCACACAACGGTTTATCACAGGAAAAAACTCCTTCAAGGCAGGGAGCATTTTCCAGTTGGGATACTCTCTGATTATTTCATGAAGAACAAATGGGAGTTTCGGAAATAACTGAAAAAAATATTCCTCAACAGAAGAAGTAGCCGGTGCCTTCTTTTTCAATTGACGTAGTTTGCCATGTCGATGCTGAAATGTGTTTCGTATCAATCGAAGGCAATCGGTATATTGGCTACCGTCATGGGCTGATGGGAGGCGGTAACCTCCTCTACACAAAGTGTAGAGGTCATCATGGCCAATCACTGTTTTCCAATCCTTTGGTAACAACAGACTTCGAGGTTTGGATGGGTCAAGGTTGTTCAGCTGTCTGTAAACTCCATTGTAACTCGTTAATTGAGGTTCGTTGCCCACAGCTTCTACCAGTTTCATCTGCTCTTCAAGAGAGAGAAAGTAAGGATGCTTCAAGGCTTGCTCCACATATGGTCGTTTATCTAGCTCCTGAGCCAACATCCGAGACAGCAGGTCTTTGACCACAGGATCATCGAGCTCTCTTAAACCAACTGGATTGTCCTTGTGCAAATTCATCATTTGTGATATTTTTGGACCAAACGGATGCTTTCCTTTGGTCAAGATGTAAAATGATAACATGCCTGCGACTTGGATATCTGATTTCTCTTTCCACCTGAGTTGTATTGGTGTATCTGAAGGGTTATCAGAGCACAATCCATTCCAGTCAATACATTCATGCGCAACCCAGCCTTGTGAACCACTTTCGTTACTGGTATGGTATGTTGTTGCACCTGTAAAGAAGTAAAATTGACCCATTTAATCTTTTACTATTTCACTTTGTTTGACAGTCTCAGATAAGAAGTTAAGTGCAAGGAAATCTACTTCTCATACAAAAATGTACTGGGATGGGGGTCAAATTTAAGTCTCCTCCATGGCGGGGAGGGGGATTGCAGATATTTTCTAGAATAGACTTCTTCTTATTGCTGACAGGCCTAAAAAAATACCTGTGGTTCCGGTTTCATATCGTGAAAAAATTAGGGTCGGTAGTTTTTCATGGTTTTGGCGGTTTTTTGCTGGGTGATTTGCAGTAGAGTCCCAAGATCAATATTAACTAGAGAATGAGATGCGTATTTCCTATGGACGAATTTAGACAATTTGGTTCAATAATTAGTGTGACAACAGACGCCATTTTGGCACACTGTATGAGCAGCCTGCAACAACCCGGAGAAAATAGGGTCGCACAGTCAATCGCGTTGAAAAAATAATAGGGTCAGCAGAAAAAATAGTGTCGGTCGGGAACCGCAGGTATTTTTTTAGGCCTCATATAGTGGATAAGTGCAATTTCTAAATTTAGCTGCTTGTATATGGGACTTCAGATTGACAGGGATACAAGGGCCTTGTGTATGGCCCTTGAGAGACATACTCTCAGGGTTCCCAATAAAATTTGGAGTAGGAGGCTTTTTGAAAGAAGTAGGCAGCTCTATGATGCCAAAGGTCCTAGGGGGGTCCGAGATTGTCTTCCCCCAAAGATGCTGAAATATAGACCTTTTAAAATGGTATTTCAACTATTTTGGACAGTTGTTTTTGAGATTTCGTCCAAAACACTTAATAATTAAACAATTAACACTTAACTCTGAGTGTGCATCCACACCGGGCAAGCTGAAAAGTTTGTCTGACCAAGGTGGGAATTGAACCCACGACCTTTGTGATACTAGTCCAATGCTCTAGCAACTAAGCTACACGGTCACGCATTGGACTAGTATCCCAAAGGTCGTGGGTTTGATTCCCACCATGGTCAGGCAAACTTTTCAGCTGGATGCACACTTGGAGAAACACCACAAACAAAGAATATCGTGTAAAAATTATGGTTTAATTACAGTATAATAAACCTTTCCCTTGACATTTCTGTGGCAAGGAAATAATTTCAAGTGACAACGGAGACTGTCTACATTATAGGCAGCAAAATTTACCAGGTGCAGGCTTCTATTGGGAACCCTGTACTCAGTCCTGGCCCTGGGGACATTTACATATTTCCTGGGACAACACAAGGGGTTAGCCAAAATGCAACATACAACCCCCAATACATATAAAGCACTGTAATGATCATAAAACAATTAAAAGTCAAAAAGCATCTACACAGGTGAGTTTTTGCAGGTCATGTTTAGTCATACTAAATATTTACATATACGATGAATATATATATATATATATATATATATATATATATATATATATATATATATATATATATATATATATATATATATATATATATATATATATATATATATATATATATATATGTATATATATAAAATATATATCTTGTGAAAATACCTTGTTTTGGGAAAAAGCGTCCAATACCAAAATCAGACAGCAGTAAATTACCATCCACATCAACAAGTATATTAGTTGGCTTCAGGTCTCTGTGCAGAATTCTAGGCTCTCTAGCGTGTAATGCTTTCAGCCCTAACAACACTTGACGTATCATCTTTCTAGCACGCGACTCTGTCATCCTTTCGCCTTCCTCCTTGATAAATTCTTCCAGATTCTGTTCATTTAAGCTCAGAATCAAATAACCGAAATCAGGGTTGGAAGTGTCATCGTAGAAACAATAATTTACAATTTGCGGCGACTCGACTGCATTCCGAGAATTCAAGATATCTCGTTCATTCTCCAAGAATTTCTTACACAAGAGTTTTGGCAAACGTTTTATTGCTCGTTCTATTCCGTCCGAGCCCAAGCAAATGTACACCTCTGTGCCATAACTGCCCCTGCCTATTGCGAACTCTTCTTTGAAACATACGCCATTATCATTTACTATTGTTATCGATTCAGGATCACTTTCCCACAGTTCTAAAAGCAGTTTGAACTTCTTCGCATGCTTCACAGAAACCTTCTTACAATACCAGGGTTTTAAGGCTGTGGTTCTTTCAGTTTTCTCATCTAGTCGCCTCTTAAGTTCCATAGCTTCTTTTTGCTCAGATCTGGTTCTGATGCTCGATAGTTTTCTCTTGAGCGCTGTACGTCGCTTTCTTAAATCGTCTCCGTCACTTCTCCCCTTTACGAGTTTGGTCATCTCTCCTCGGGAAAGATCAAGTAACACTTGGTCAGATATGTCAGAATCTGACGTATTACCTGTAATTGCAACATTACTTGGAACATTTTCTTTATCCATCTTTACTGGTATTTTAATCTATGGTTGATGTTGCAGTATTTGGTCTGTGAGGCTGTGATTTGGCGCCAAAATGCAGAAACCACACTTCGACTTCAAATAAATCTATTAACCAATCAGATGCGTTTGATATATCTAATTAACCAATCAGATGCGTACTAGGCCAAAGTCAAATCTCAACCCTCTGCCCCGAGCCTGCGATCCTCTGTGGTGGCCATCATGTTATTAGTACATACTTCATATAGTCCTACAAGAATAACATTCCCTTTCCTAACCAGTACAACCCTAACCTATTATACAATGTTTTATGTTTATATATATTCCTGAACGTTAAAATGTTATTTCCGCCTTGCTGCAGTTTTCCTTGTGTTCAATATAAAAATTATTAGGGCTCCCTAGTGTCGGTACCCCCAGATGACCATGCAGCCAGTGTATGCTCCATGACGAAGAGAGACAGACAAGCCCCATTTCAAGACACCGCCCTTTCTCTGGGTATGAGATTGGGTTTTCTCGGTCAGTATCTAACTAGGAACGCAATACACCACTAACATATATCTAATTCACATGATAAAAGATATATACCCCCAAGTCATATCCTTCACTACTGGTGTAAAAATAAAAAATTGAAATCTTACCATTATTGGCCATTACAGATTTCCCACATGGTAAATTAGCAAAAACTATGTTGTTTAATATTTTATACCAATTTACCATAATTATGGGAAATCTATAATAACCAATAATGGTTAAGAGTTCAGTACTTCAGTTTTAATAAAACTGAACTCTTAACCATTAATTAATTAATCGTCAGAGCGCTCTAAAGGGGGGCGTCGGAGCGCTCTAAAGGTGGGGGGCACACTTACCACCTGCCAAAGGCGGGTGACATTCAAAAGCAGTCTGGGGGCATGCCCTGCACTTTAGAAGGAGATTTACAGAGTTCTAAAGGCAATAAAATGTCATAAAATACTTCAAATTGTTTTGTCTACACGCGTAACTGAAATAATTATTATTGACCATTGTTAAAAAGTGGGGGCCCAAAGACATTTAGCCCCCCCCCCCCCCC